AGCCATAATAAAAGGGTCTTAGGAGGGATGATAGAATTCAGAGATAGAAATGGGAAAGGGAACCCTTTCCTATTTATGGCTGGGAAGGGTTTAACAGGCTGGGAAATAGGAGGATTGAGCAGAAAGGGGAGGAAAAATGAGAGATAATTAATACTAAATATCTACAGAAAGAGTCAAATGGAAAACTAGTACATATATTTTTCTCAATATATATACATATACAAGACAACATAAAAAGAGTTTAAATGTAGTTACCCTCAAAAAGTAGGGGCATGGATGGGGCATGGTCTCTAAATTTATACAAAATGGACAAAAACGCAATAAAAATATATTTTTAAAAGGGGTTCAGTTGCCCTACTAGACACCAAAGACAAGCAAATGAAAAGCCCAATGCCAGGAATAGACTCCCTCATTTGGAGTTGTGGATCAGAGAGTTTCCACAGACCCTCAAACAACACTGGTTGTTGCCATTGCACTTGGTTACCCACCAGAATGTAATGGTAAGATCCCATTGTTGAAGAAAATATATACTTGAGTCTCAGAACAAACAAGGAGAAATCAAGCTGCTACTAACCTTGAATTTTCATCTCTGCTGACTAGCTTTCATAGTATTAGAACGTGACATGCATGTTATTGGCAGAGAAAGGTAATCAACAACTTACAAAGCTGTGAATTCTGCAAACTACACTAACAACTTGCCTGGCACAGTATGCCCTCTGGTGCAATAGTTGCTCAAACGTTATGCAAGTAAACAGCCACCTTCTAATTGGATTTAAGGCTTGCTTTGCAACAGGGAATCCATACCTGACACTGTTATAAGGGCAAGAACCTGTGGCTACGTAAATCATAGGCTATAGGGGAGAATTTATTCCTATGTCATTCTGCTAACTAGACATATTTTTAAATTGACCCATAATGACTTATTGTTATGTCCATAGGTCAGTGCATCTCTGAAATCTCACGAGATAAGTTGCTTCTTGCACCAGATAACTATTAACAAAAGACCCACAAACAGTCATCACACAGAGAATAAAAGGCAGTAGTGTTCAACCCTAATAAGGACAATTTTATCACACTCTCTCATCTTAAGGCTCAGGGATCAGTGAGTAAGGGGTAGCAGAAAGACTGTAAGGGCCAGAGGTGGTAGAGGAATACAAGGAAGGTGTTCTCTGGACAACATACTGTATATATAAACCCACAAATCTTGTGAAAGTATGCACAAGATTTGTACAAACCAAAGTCAGACAGGGGCCCAGCATGGGTAGAGAGAGTGGGCAGGAAATCACAGTCTCTCTGGGAGAGAAAGAGTCAATTTTCCTTACTGATGTGATGTCTGGTAGGTTTACAAGACTACAAAGGATAAATCTTAGTCCAGGAACATTTAGGAAACACAGAATAGACTTATTTGGCCCTTAAAAATGTAAAATAATAATAGAGGACATGAATCTGAGGACAGTATTAAAATTGGGATGAAGAGGGGGCAGAGGGTCTGGATGTGATCAAAAATACATTGTGTGATATTCTCAAATCAATAAAGTATTTTTTAAACTTAAAATATAATTTTATGCCAAATGCAGTTCATCATTGCTGTACTTATATTTCCTAAATACATTATTTCTTGTTTAAAATGGGATTTCATATAAATGTATACAGAATTTGACAGAACTCTTAGTTAAGTGTATGTCAAATCTAGTTAACTATCAAATATTAAATAAGAAATGTATTCCTATAGTTACATGCATTTTTTTATTTACTATTTATTGTTGAAAATTTAGATAATTTTCATTACATTGATTTGTTATAAAACCTTAAAGGAAATTAAAATGCTTGTTTTGGAAATAACAAGTAATAATTCAGAAGAAGGAAAGACTGTAGTTTTCAGTCTATAATAGCATGGGAACTATATTACATGGAAATTTACCAAGATTTTGTTATTCACAAAAGTTATCAACCACGATTTCATGTGACAAGAGCAGAGATAGTCATTTCCGTAAGCCAATTAAACTACCTATTGATGATGGGAGAATTTTTCTGAACTATTCTCTAATGACTAAAAAGCAATAAGAGATTTACCTCATCATTAATGTGTGCTAATTGAAATTTTATTCATGTTGAACTCTGAGTGTAAAGGCTTCATTTAAACATAAAGTTATTTGCTACATTGCTTATAGTTTTATAAATGATGTGCTTCAAATTAAACGGAGCTTCAATAATCAATCAATTTAGAGTTAACTTACTGATGTTTTAAACTTAATATGCCAATCATTTGAATAGGTAAATCTCACCAACATGACATTATATGGCATTATATTTTTGTACTCATGAGCTTCCTGAATGTCTTCTTGACATCGTTGTTCCTGAGACTATAAATCAGAGGATTCAGCATGGGAATGACCACTATATAGAAGATCGAGGCCACCTTGACCATGAGCCATGAGCTCTTTGTATTAGGAACACAGTAGAGGAAAAGTATAGTCCCATGGAAAAGGGAAATGGCAGTCAGGTGGGAGGCACATGTAGAGAAGGCTTTATGACGGCCCCCGGTGGAAGGCATCTTCATGACTGTGATGAAAATGAAAATATAAGATGTAAGGATAATGATCAGGGTGCTTATTTCATTAAATGTAGCAGAGGCGAAAATGATCACCTGGTTAATGTAAGGATCAGAGAGAGATACAGCCACAATAGCAGTGTGCTCACAGAGAAAGTTATTAATAACATTAACTCCTTGGAATGATAACTTCTGTAAAAAGTAAGTAAGTGTCAGGGAACAGATGAAACCCCAAGAGTATGATGCACCCACTAAAATGGAACACAGCTTTGAAGACATGGCAACTGTGTAGAGCAGAGGGTTGCACACTGCCACAAACCTGTCATAGGCCATCACTGCCAACATGTAGGATTCTGTCACCACAAATAAACATGCAAAGAAGAACTGCATGATGCACCCTGCGAAGGAGATGGTTCTGTCTTCCATAACCAAGTTTTCTAATAGTTTGGGAGTTACCACAGTAGAGTAACAGAAATCAACAAAGGAGAGGTGAGTAAGGAAGAAGTACATGGGGGTGTGGAGCTTGGGATTGACCCTGATGATGGTAATCATGCCCAGGTTCCCCAGCACAGTGACTGTATAAATGGTCAGGAACATGAGGAACAGGGGCAGCTGGAGGTCCGGGTATTCTGAGAAGCCCAAGAGAATGAAGATTACTTCAGATGTCTGGTTTTCATGGTTCCTAGGAAAAACGTAGTAAAGTTGACTAAAAGAGGCAATCAAAAAGGGAGAGTGAAAAATAAAGTAAAGATTATTAGGGATGACTCAAAAAAGCATCATGTAAAATTATGTCAGGAGTTACATTAATTCAAATAAAAATACAAATTGTCTCCTTATATGTGCTTTTTATTTTTATATTTTACAATTTATTATTGTGGTCCTCACAATAAAATAAAATTCAGAAGAACCAATACACAAGACAGGACGAGGGATAAAACCTTAAAAAGACCATGAGAGAAAGTGTAACCACCTGCTGCATCAGGACTACACTGTGAGTCAGTCCTTGGAGACTCACCTTAAGTCCTACACAACAGTAACCACAGTGGAACCTCACAGTACTTTATCTAGTTATCATAAGGCAAGAAAAGTTAGGGGAAAACAGAATGAACTATTTTCATAAGTACTGAATCCTTTTCTATCACTTAACCACATTTTTCTCTGAACTAAATTATGATTACATCTTGAAATTTAATGTCAAAACTTAATTTAATCTCAAAATAAAGACGACTCCACGGAGTATGAGAGCTATATATCTATGTGCTAAAATTAAAAGCCCTGCAGATGTTGCCATATTGTTGAGCTTTTGTTCTGTAAGACAATTTCACAATTGTATCCTGCATATGAAGATAGTGTTCACAAACACCTGCACTTTTTCTTCACCTATCATTTAGATTTCATTGATTTGCTATCCTACACTTACTATTTCCTGAGGCATTTGCACATTTAACACAAAATATAT